TTTAGTGATGAGCACAAGGCGCACTAATCGTTTTTAACGATATGCGCGGTAATAAATATATTTCGTGTGTTCATCTGCCGGATGGTTAATTGTGACACTTGAAATATTCAGAAGTTTTCCAGACTACCGGCCGGACGGTTGTATACCCACCGCTGTGGTCGCCTCCCGCCGGCACTAGTTTTGTTAGTCTGTCACTCTCTCGCAGAGAACTTCTCCTGTTGTTGGCCCCCTCACCAAAACACAGATACCCGCGGTTTCACATACTGTGCACTGGAATATAACGCGTGGTCAGCCCAAGGACCGCGTTCAAAATACACGCGCGTCTCGTGCCGAAAGACCAACACAAATAGTTCAAACACCGAGAGCCCATCGCATTGCGAGTCGAGGATTAACGAGTTGCCATTAACCGGCGGGCGCAGCAAAATTATCCAAATGTCATTACTCAAAAAGGCCAGTGTGTCTGTCCGCCGTGAATCCTATGCGCGACTTGGGCCATATTATTGCCATCATTACAAAACAATAACACTGAATGTGTTTATTGCGTACGGGTCAATGAAAACTCCGTTTTGTAGAATGGCGCAATAAGACGCACTTGTCCCCGGGGCCATTTCGCCATGGCATTACAACGATAATAATTTTGGAAAACTTGGAAACGGCGCTTGTCCTGTTTTTAAGGCACAAAGCCGCTGACACACACACGGTCCATAAATCATCGCCAATATTATAATACGCCGGCCGCGGGCATTGGATTTATAATAACAGTTATACGATGATAATAATAACAATATTATTATTATTATTAGTCAGTATCGGCCGTACATTTACGACATGTTGGAATTCCATGGAAAAAATCGACAGTATCCGTTATCGTCGAGTGCGACGTTATGGAAACTGTCCGTTATCGCGTGTGTTTTATGTGCTTGTGTTTTGCCCGACAAACACTCGTCAAAGCATAACTGGCGCAATACAATAGTAGTGCATGTTCCTCAGAATTGTCCAAAAGCATTAATATTTTAATTAATCTCTTATTATTGTCGGGTTGTTCCGTTGGGTGACATTCTGTCAAAGTTATACCTTTAAATAAATAAAGCCTTCATGTGGCGCGCTTTATACTCGGCGTATTCTAAAAATCGTAGAAAAACAAAAAAAGAAAAATATCTTTTCCCCGGTCGGTAAACAATGACATGATAAAAGCCTTGAACGACACTCGAACGGTTTTAATAAATTCATAAGGGCCTTGTTAGAAACTTATCGACACAGTTGTAACATATTTTTAAATTGATTTAACGTTGTTGGTGTTTTTTTTTTTGATACCTCATAAAGGATTGCGCTACGGCCTGTATTGTTATATATTTTTAACCGTAAGCGCTTTCCGCCTTTTGTTTGCGGATAAATTATCGAGGTCGACAAGATTGGAAAATTATTAACCCGTCGCGTACCTGCTGCTGCCAACGCCGGGCCTATGTCGGCGATGGGTTCAACAGACCAAAATAACGATCAGTAAAATATTATTTGTTTAAAAAATTAAACTCTGTCGGCAAAAATACCGAACAATATAAGTGCATTGCAGACTTGGGATTACACAAGTATCATTATCCTTTTGCGTATGTTTAACAAAAAATAAACAAACAGGAAAAACACATAGACTGCTGTTATAATTTCCATGACGTTACGTCCAGTTGTATGTTTTTCTGCTGTGTTAACATAAATATAAGAAAGAAATAATTAACGAGGGGTTTTCGATTTCAGACATTTATGATCTTTTCATTTTTTTTTTTACCGTTGTATTATTCGGTAATTTACATTTCATTTAAAATAACAACTAGAGTATCATAAGTTTTATTATAAGTATCGTTTAACGCGAATTTACGCTGGTAGTTGAAATTAGTTAGTAAACGCTTTGTTAATATTGGTTGACATCTAAATGTCGTGGTGTACTATCCACGCAGTGTTAATTAAATGACGGTTTTCCATTCCACGTATAATCTCAAGATAGGGGAAACCGTGTAATTCGAATGTGTATAAATGTTAAGTAATTCAAACGTTTTTTAAAAAATAATTCCCAAATTATTCATATTTTCCGGGAAACGTACGTCTCGTTTTTCAAAGAAATTCAGCCCTTACAGTACTACCGTCGTATAAGTTTTATTACATAATGACTTAAGAGAAAACCTAATAACATTAGCGCAATGTAAACATTCACTGAAACAACAATGTTTCTCAGTTCTCCGGAGATTTGTTTTCGACAAACAAATATATATAAAAATTTACCTTTCAAGTATTTATAAATGGAAAAACCCAATTACTGAGTTGTGTGTTTTTTGTTGACCTGACCAATCGTTGGTTTTCGATAACGACCTATTGATTTTTAACGGTTTCGGTCAGGTGTATGTTTTTCTTAAAAATTAATTTTTACCATTTTTATTCATGCGTTTGAAACACGCCACTTGTTCGAGATGGTTTTTAATAGTTCCAATTCGTTACCTATTATTTTTTGTTGTTCTGCTGCCGCTGCTGCTGGCCGCCGTTCTATTACCATGCATGTCTGTGTATGTATATGACCGCATACGCCCCGAGGGAGCACGCGAACGTTACCCGGTATCCGGTAAATGTATATTTGAATTGTGGGAGTGTGTACAAATTGACACCTGGACCATCATCATCGCATGTACTTATCGATAGGAATTTCGACACGTTTGCCGACGAGAATTTCTGTTTATGTGAATAACATTTTGAATAATTATGCGTGTAAAGCTCTAGGGTAACTTTTATCGATATGGAAACGTATAACTGCCAAGGAAAATATCTCGCGGGAGACTCTAAGTAGCGGAAGCTTGTGGTTGCAACAGCTGCTGTTAAAACCCGTTGACGTTTATCCGCCGACGATAAAATCTTAAACGGCTCAAAAGAATACTTTCAAAACCGATAAAACAACTCTCGGAAGTGAGCAATGTGTTTCATATAGTCTAATCCAAACACGGCAATCGTCTGTGCATGCTGCTCCTCCTCCTCCTCCACAAGTCGATAAAACCATAACTCTGCGATGTGACTACACCTATTGCCTAAGCTGTATTTCATTTCTAACGAAATCGCAGAATCCAGGATTTTTAATTATATTAATGACCATTTGTTGTAATGTTGAAGAACTATTGACGTCACGTCGGAGTAAAATACTTTAAGCACCGAGAGTAGTAAAACGGTCTGTACTAGTCTTACCCATACAACACTTGTACACGTACGCGGAAATTTGGTGCTAAAATCATGTGGTAATTTAATTTGAGCTAGTTAAAGGTAACGAGTTCGAAGAAAAAACTCGGTCATTGCGAGTGGCGCTTTTAGTCGAGTTGATGGTTATTGTACAAACACACACACACGTTCATACGTACACGATACGTTTATATATTTAATCGGAGAAAGGAAAGAAATTGGCTTTAGGTTTAACGCCACGTATTATATGCAAATGCGAGTTGGAGAGAAAAAGTACTGTATCACTACTCGACTCGACGCGCTTGTGAATACGATGTAAAAAAGTCGAAAAATACTGTAAAAAGATTCGGGAAAATCGCTTTGAAAAGCAACTTAAAAGATCTTAAAAAAAAAAAAAAAGTACATTCATTTCACGAGGAACTGCCGTGTAGTAGACAAGAGGATAACAGTCGAGGTTAACTCGAGTTGAGATTTATGTGAAGGAAAACGTCGTGTTGCACCTGTTGTGTGTGCTGCGTGTAAGTATATACCACTCAGTGTGTGTGTGCACATGTAGTCTAATATACACTCACTTAACTTACACCCCGTTGCATACGAAGTCACGGTGGTTTTTATTTTATTGTTATTGTCGGTTGTTTCTAGCCGAAGCAAGATTACTGTGCTATTGCTTCAATCTTCTCTTTCTTCGAGAATATACTATTGTTATTTACAGTTTTTTTTTGAATAACACTATCAACCCGGACCCGGATTAGTGGTATTCGGGTAAAATCAATAGGATACGTTCCATCTTAAAATGAGTATATATTATTTCACACTACATAGAACTCGGCGAGAGCGTCTTGGCTTAAGGGTTTGTCGTCTTTAAGTTTCAACAGTGTCAAATGACCTTTCTCTGTAAATTCCTTTGGTTCGGCCGCGAGACGTTACACCGCTTACACTCTACCGTAGTTCCAAACTTTTAAGACGGCCTTAAAAGGGATAAAGCTGCCGAGGAAAATATCCCGTTGTCACTGTAAAGGCAAGTGTGGCATTACAGATTTACGGCGAACCGGCTATATAGCCGCCTAGGATTGGCTTCGAGTTAATTTGTTAATTTTTTTATACAGCTCCGTTGTTTTCCCGGAATCGCCTTTAAACGCCCAACGATTATGCGGTGACGCCACGTTATTATTACTTAATTACACTTTGTCGAGTCCTGATCGATTTTTAATAATATGTCGAGGAGTTAAACACACACGCGCCGAACGCATACTAAGTCTATAGCGCCTGAAATAATAATAACCGTTCCCGTTGTTGTCCGAAACGCGCGACTTGAGAATTACCCCTAAAAACTATCGTCGATTATATCGTGTCATGCACTTAAACAACCATTCCCGTCTTAATACACTGGCGTTGTTCATCAACCGGGTCTGGACAAACTCTGCCGCTCCTGAGAATGTAAAAAGTGGTCGAAAGCTACCGGGTGGCGGCGGTCAAAAGCAATTATTCGTGCTCGACATTATTGAACTACTTTTTGACGCGAAGGTTCTACAAACGACAGCTCGTTTGTCACGCGGTGGATAACGCCGCTAATTGTTCCGTTTTACTATTACTGTTGTTGTTGTTGTTGTTCGTGTCTGTCGGAGAGTAAAACGATTCTTACATCGGTTAACTCTTCAAATTTGCTACATTACTGTAGCGCTTTTATGACTGATCAATACTAACTGGTAAATAACCGCAATAAACACTAATTCGTGTAATTAAATAGTAATGAATTATTAGGCCAAGTATAAATAAATTGTATTTCCTTTTAGATTACTTGGACCGACGGCACCGGCATTCCACTCGCCGAAGGCGTCAAGTCTTATATCTCGACAATGGCTGCTGATAACCGGCGATTTTCTACGCGGTCAGTTTTGAAAATGATACCCAGAAAAGAATACCACAACACTTCAGTGTGGTGCCAGGCACAGAGCACTGCCAGTGACAATAAGCTTCGAACGAAAATTCATCTACACATCAAATACGCTCCCAAGGTAAGTCCGATATTCGTATAAGTTGCGTTATGTTGTTGCAGAGACGTCGGACGTTATTCGCGGAAATACGTCTAAAACTTTGGAGGTTTACCGTTTCATCCGATTCGTCGATCGTTACGTTGTTATTCTTCTTAAAACGCCCCTTGTTCTGGGAAACACGGGGCATCGGAAAAGAGTAATTGCTCGGTTATAAAAGTTTTTCGAAATTTGCCGACTGTATGTTGTTATAATGTGGTCGAAGAGATTCCACGAAAGCCTCGTTTCGGCTAAATAGTCGCTTCAAATATCCATCACGTGCATTCAAATGGAAATTGGCCAGAATTCAAAATTAATATTCAATTCGTCCGTTTGTATCAATTACACGGATACACATTTCTCAGAAACAATATATATACATTTGATCGGAAAATAAATGTTTATTAGCGCTTTTTTACCAATATCATAAAAATAATACAATATATATTTCTTTAAACAAGCTATTTAATATAATATTCCATAAGAATACTGTATAGTAGTTCTATCAAAATACGGGATCTAATTATTAGATTTCCGTCACAATCTTACACTTTAAGATCGTTACATCGACGATACTAAAATTCTACTGTGTAATTAATCAAAATAAAAATCTGTGTAAAGTTAATTAGTGTTATTGAAACAGGTGAACATCGATAACATCACGACCGGTGTACGTTGTGTTCACTTCTTTGGATAACTCGATCATTTAGAAGAAAATGTCTTTTTTTTACCCGTGAAACCGGTACAAGATTTCCTAGTCAATTATTAACTAATTTATTATGCGTGTGATTATTCCTCGTGAAGTCGTATTCTCATATTTAATTGGTCGGGTTAATTTGTGTGTTTTTTTTTCTTATTTTGATGTGTACACGAGGTAGGTACAGTTGAAGATGTCACACTCAAACCCGGCGCATTTCACTAAAACCATAATCTGTTCACAACTAACACACTGGTATTTTGAACTAATAGAGAAATAAACTACGAAAGATAACCCTACCCATCCAATTCTTCGGTTGTAAAAATATGTGCAATAAATTCATTCCGGGAACGTGCAATTAAATGGTTGGGCGTGTATTGTATTCGGACCGGTCGTAAAAATTGGACTGCTAATAATGTTATTATCGAAAAATTAGAAGATTCGGTTTAAATAAAAATTGTAATAGGATTGAAAAAATTATCATAAGAAATATATTACCGGTCAAATTATTTGTTTTTATGGTATTGAACGTGTCCTAGCCTAAGCGATTCTGATCGCATTAAGGTCAATGTGCTTGGGGTTTATTTCTTTTAAAATAGAAAAAAAAACTTATCTATCCAATGGAATTTAATCGTTATGATGTTCATTATGGATGATGGCGTTTATTTATTTAAATTAGTTTTAGTAGGATCTGTTTATTTTTCACCGCACGCGCACTCTTATCGTAACGGAGTAGAACGCTCGCGAAAATTAACCGAGTAATTGAACAAAACTGTTAAATGTTACACATAATCAAAATAATCGTTCTTAATGTTATTACTGTGATGACGACAAGCACCCAGCGACTTTACACGAAATCATGTCCATCCGCCTTGCAGAGTCTCATAATCGGCATGTTAAATATTGTCATAAATAACGCGAACAAAATGAGGTTAAATGATCGATTTGCCGAGGCCATAGATCTTGAGCTGGAATTCGCTGTTCAATTTGTACCCTTGGGCGCTTTTGGGCTGGGTTTCGGTAAACAAGCATATTAGGATTATTGTATTTACAATTTAGTACATTCACTTGTACTTGAAGTCGACTAAAGAAAGCTGTTTGGTATTGGTTACAAACCCTAAAATTATAATGTATTCATATTGAGATGTGTACCGTGTGTCTATCTGTCGGAGTTCGGCTTACAGCGAGGAAAACGTGTACAACGTGGTTTTATTTTTAACTTAAAATTTTAATCATCAGATAATATCGTTTGACCGATACTATATATAATAATCGACCCGCAAAAAGTAAATAAATAAAAACCATAAGAGATCTGTTTTCTCGAGTTACTGTCATTTCGAATTGCGTAAACTCGTTTTGGATAAGTATCTCCGAGTCGCGTCAGTATGTACTCACAACTTGGATTAATTATAATTCAGTGCGGACACACGAGTATTACCATATTATTAGCTGCTAGTGTTTCACACGTAAAACCTTGTCGGAGAATTTTTTTTATCGTACCTCCCGACGTTCTATCTTCATAGAAATCCAATAACCGTATTCACTACCACAGGCAAATGACAAATTAAGATCGTTGATTCGATTAGTCCGGCGGAATTTTCGGACGTGGTTGTGTTTACTTTTTTTTTTTAAGATTTCTAATCTTTTAAACCATTATTCTTCAGATATGACAAACACAAATCAACGATCGCTCGAGTTCTCTCGGATAACGCCGCGCACTGAATTTTCCTTCTCCTCCCTCTACTCCGCCTCGAGTAACGTAATTACAAACGCATTGCCGCTGGAAAAGGTAATTTATGGTGTGATTACTAAAAAACGTTTCTAATCATTCTACCGCTAATTATCGGTAATAGCAAGTAGTTTTTAGTACTTGGTTACGATACGTACTATTGATAAACACTACTATTAAAACAAAACGAATAATCGTCATATAATATTAGTGTATAACATAAGCTGCTGCAGCCGTTTTTAAAACCGCCCAGGAAGACGCAGCAAGTAGTGGATTGTTGTTGACCATCATTAAAAAAAAGGGCGCTTTGTGTTTCAACCCGGAGATGAATGTTCTACTCGTGTACACTCTACAGGATGATTGTCGAGCCTGATAAAATTTATTTTTGACTGACCATTAAATAAATTAGGGACTTGGAAATCATCAAAAAGTTTTCAGGGTCTATAGTACACCAATTCATTAGCGTAGCTAATTACCGAGGTTCGCTGACCAGTGTTTTAACCTTTAATAACTTTACAAAACATTTTAAGTAGTTTAACAAATTACTCGGGTAATTTGCAAGAAACCTTATTTATTTTTAATTGCTCTTTGGCTTTCGAATAATAGTTGGGTGTTAAAATAAAACTATCACTTTAAGATAGACTGAAATACGTTCAACGCAGCCGTTATTCGTTCGATGATTAGATGAATTCTTCGAGTTTTCCATGACGCATGACTTACACTCATATCTTTTTTCACTCTCGGTATCCTTTGACTTTGGTTTAGTAAACAAAAAAAAGTAATAATATAGAAAATTACACAACGACGGACGAACAAACAGCTCTCGATTATGTCGTCGGGGAGGATACGCAATAGGGACAGTGTGTACAGTACTGACAGGCTGACGGCTCGTCTGATTCGTGGGAATACCACTACAACAACAACAATAATAATAATAATAACAGCGGTAATGATAATAATAGAAGTAATATTATGGTGTAGAGCTGACGACTGGCCGACACAATAAACAGATAAATGCTAGTCCGCCGCTCAAGTGACAGTCGTAGAAGGGGTTGAAAGTCTGAAACCGCGTTACAATAATAATAGTAGTTACATTAATCGTTGGTGCCTCTGATTGCGTCCTCAACGTGAATGGAATAATAATTATTTCATATAGTAGTCGGACAAACGGTCGTCGGTTTCTACCCTTTTTCACAACGGTAAGAGAGAATGATCGCCGATGTCGAGGAGATATAAATGTAACGTAGGTGTGAAAATGTATCATACGCCTATTATATTTATTGAATTTTCGAACCAATTGTTTATCAGTAGAAACCGATTAATTTTTGTTTAAAGAAATGCGTGAACGATAAACATGTTATGTCAGTTGTTTGGATAAGACATATTAAATTCGAACATACGAATTTGTTTCACACTAATTTCTGGAAGTTCGAGTTTTATATTTATTTGTCAACTGTTCAGTGAACCGAAAAAAAGTGATGTGCAAACGCGTTTGGCAATACGCGGTCATTGTTTTAAAATTAATTTATTATTATTGCATGGCAGTTTTAGTGAAAATGGTTCCGTGAAAAATGGGTCGTCTTATCGATGTATGATAATTTTCAACGAATTTAGATGTTATTCCGAAAACGGGTTATTTCAATGTTGCGCCATATGTGCTCTCCGACAGAGTAAACCGCTAGTGTGAATATCAATAGGATATTCCTCATAAATAACCGCTCGTTGTTTCATAATGCTAACAAAAAATGCGTGGGTTAATGAATTCCTTATGAAAATTCTTTGGTTCCATTGGAGTCGACGAGGTCGGCTGTTCTCTTAGGGAAAACGATCCGTTTAATATTATGACGGCTGTCTCAACTTACCTAACTAGTTTTAATCGACCGCGAGTAAAGTTCATTCTCTCCGTTTCTGTTACTTTCTGTTAATTTTTGACAAAACAAGAGAATGCTATTAAATATCAACAACAATAAAAGAGTGCATAAACCATACACAACTGTTGTGTAATAGTAAAACGTTGAGAAATGCTCGTCCTCCTCCAGACGTCTCTGTATAAATTATAGGAATTGTTCCGTGTATATAATTTCCAATTTCATGTAAATAACGACTACCCCAAGAATATATCACGAACAGCTTCTGCTTTCTACCGCTCTGAAATTTATCAGATGTTATTACTATAATTTATTTTTTTTTTATTAAACACTAACGCCGCGCAACGCAAGGGTTTATTAAAAAGAAAAAACAACGCATATATTACCGTCTGACGATCATTTCGGTCGGAAGCATATAGTATAATAAAAAGAAAAAAACAAAACGGAATGAAATCCTATACACAAGAAATGTCTGTGTACGGCGTCGCGGTCTCGTCCTCGTCTCTCCCCGCGAGTACTGAGTATACACACTACTGTAATATACACATATATCGTAAGACCAGACCGTATGATGTGTATAATAATATCTCATTAAACATATTATTGCGCCAGTGAAACACAAGGATCACGACTGTTGTCGGTGGTAATAACCGATTTACAGACATCGGGTAGGGATATTATTTATTTTAATTCTTCTGTTTTTGCTTTTCTTATTATGTGTACCACCGGTTTTACACATGTTTGAAATCCATCCGTTTCCCATGCGACACCGCAAAGGCGTTTCATTAAATGACACACGTTTGTTTAATGGTCATATTAATAACATTCGTGTGTTTTTTAAGTTGGAAAAATCACAGTTCATTTGCCATGTTTATTCCTCCGAATCATAGCACATGATGTGTATGAAGTGTGAAATATTATATCAGTAGCGTTGGACGAATTAAAATAAAACTAGTTCCATTAATTGCATTTATTTCGGTTTTAAAGTCAATCTACCTACGGATCACGTTCAATTTTCTATGTACTTTTTTTTTTTTTTTTTTTTTTGGGCCTTCGAAACTTAATTACGGACGACCGACTTAAGGCACAAGCAACACACATATAAGTGCACGTACGTGAAACAAGAAGACGTTTGGCCAATGGCCAAAGCGTGAACACTTTTTACATTAGTGCTTTTAGTTCTGTTGCCTGGTTAATTTTATTTAAAGTTTAGTTTTAGTTTCAATTTTTGTCCTATTTATCTCGGATTATCGGGGGTCATCTTTTATGGGTCGGATTGCAAAATTGTTCATATTCAATTGGTGATTATTTAGCATTGTACGTTGTTTCTTCATGAATTTCTCTGATGTTTCAGCACGTATAAATAGATGAATCGCTCAGTAATAATAAGTTTTAATTAATAATGGAGGTTCTGTGTTAAAAATAGATCTCCCGAAGAATCGGATGATCGGGGTAAAAAGTATGATACAATAATAATTTATCATTCAATCTTAATTAAGATGCCAGTCGTTTTACTAATATCATATTTTATTAAAAATAAAAATACTGTAGAATTTCATTTAAGCTATTTTGTTCTAAGAAATAAAAAGCATTTCGTTCGACTACAGGTGACTATGACGATTGGAAGTCCAGGTAAAGACTTAATCGAAAGTTCTGACGTGCAGTTCCTGTGCATGGCTAAGGCTAATCCGCCGGAAATTACCTACCGATGGTTCGTTAATGACCAGGTCGTTTCGGGTGAGACTACGCCAGAATTGTGGATGACTAACGTAACCAGAAAATACCAAAATTCTATTGTGAGATGTGAAGCTCAAAACGTTGTTGGAAAAACGGAAGACTCCAAAGTGTTAGATATATTATGTAAGTATTGAATATTGTAATTAAAACTGAAGGAAAAAAAATAATTTTATGTATCTTCTGTGGTTACCCCTGCTGAGATTTAGAAGAAATTTTTTTTACCAACCACTTTTTTTTTTTTGATAAATCTTACACAGTGTGTGTGTTCTAAATGGTGTGAACCTTTTCGAGATCTCTAAGGGATCATCGCGAGACTATGTCAGTTTAAATTTGGCCAGATGTCTGTGTAATGTGTGTAGTACCATCTACACGTGTGAATCCGGTTCTGACTTGTGTCGTATTTCTACACACACGAAACGTCTGTGTATCAGTTATATTATTGTTTAGACAGCTACTGCCGCCTACCTGCCATACGCACTTGGTCTCTCTCGTGATTTATTTCTAAATCAAACGCTAATGAAATACTTACCTTTTATACAAAATTCAGTCTTACCCTATAGACGGGCTTTGTATGATATACAGTATAATAGTATAACAAGTAGAGACGATGATTTTGTATTTTTTTTTTTTTTTTTTAATTACGCATTAATGAACCGTTAATGGTCGTATCAAAACAAATGCAATACAATCTATATACATCATCGGATTAAACGCGCCGGTTTCGTTCGAAGAGAATTCAAAAGAGCATACTGAGAAACCGTAAAAGATAATTTTGTTATTGCCGCGGTACTCGGTTTTAATTTAATCCTTCCCGCGTTCGATTGATGGCTGCCTTAGTTAACGTACCTATAGGCGTTGCTACTGAAAAACTATTATTAAGATTTCACCATCGGATTCGTTTCAATTAATTTTAATTATCCATTTTTTATATCATAACCACCGAATAATCGGTGTGCGTGTAACGCATGCGGCCGACGATCGAATGATTGATGGACGAGACGTTACCCGTGCCGTCTATGCTCTGGACTTTGCCCCGAGTTATTTATATTGATTCATAATACGCTGTATCGTTTTTGGCAGACAAACCGCAATTCAGAGTCCGCCCCAGAAACGTGCAGGCCGAAGCAGGAAACGCCGTGACTTTGACGTGTGACGTAGACAGCAACCCGGCAGCCGACATTGTGTGGACCCATGAAAAAACCAACAAGGTGAGGAAAGACAGTGTAATTAAAAACATGTTTAAATGTCTAGTGCACATCTGAATTGTCCACTCAAAACCTTCAGTGAAACACTGAATCCTAAGTGGCCTATCGGTGTAATCAATCAAACATATGTTTTGTCATATAGGTGGTCGGTTCGTCGTCTAATCTTACCATACAGGTGACCAGCATCACTTCAGGACGGTACTATTGCAGAGCTACGGCTCCAGGGTTCGGCGAGATAGGCGCAGAGGCAACGGTGTTGGTCAAGGGTTCTCCCGTGATCGGCACCCGACCCGTGCAGTACGGTGTGTTGGGCGATACTGTCCGACTGGAGTGTTCCGCTTATTCAGTGCCGGTGGCCGACAGGATCGTATGGACGTTCCAGGGTACTGTGGTCGGCAAGGCCGATCAGAAATACTATACGGTAATTATTTATTTGACGTTAATTGGTCGCAGACGTTTGCCGACGAGGCGCCGTTTCCACGTGCTGCTGCTCCTGGGTGGCTTAGTATTATATCTATTGACTGGTTAATTTAGCGAAACGCAATAAAAAAAATAAAACCCAGTACACTGTAAAACACATGCGACGCTCTTAAAACACGGTTGTACCACCTAAACTTAGCAATAAATTGTCGAGTTTTTTTTTTTTTTTTTTTTTAATTCTATTTTATAGTTAACGAAAAATAATAATTTGATTAAAACGCTTTAAAATATTATGCATTTTATCGCTCGGGGCGTAATGTAATAAAATTCGGTGTACGCCAATGTTACATGATAATAAAAGGTCTCTAAAACGCGTTAATTCGTTAGACCTGGCTAATCGCATGTCGAAAAAACATTAAATCGATTTGGGTTTTAACGATGTCTTTCATATTTTAGTCGCCCCGGGAGCGTGTTGGTGGCAATAATTGAAAATATGGTAATAAAGAACAATTATAAACAGCACTGGTGTAATGCATTGTGCATAATGGGAGGGGCGCCGCGATAATGTAATAAAGTTGTCAATCCGTTTAATCCTTCACCGCACTTTGATAAGTCCCGCGGTTGGAACGTTTTTCCACGGCATTATTGTTTATTGTTATGATTTCGTGCAGGTGCTGGAGGACACTTTGGACGACGGCGGAGTGAGGAGCACTCTGGTCATCAGAGAGTCCAGAAACGAACACTTTGGAACGTACAACTGCACAGCGTCCAACGTGTACGGCTTTGACTCGGTCAACATCGCATTGATGCCAAGAAGTAAGTGACCGCCTTGTTTGTTTAATATTTATACTCGTTCTTTTAATTATGATTTGTGTATTTTTTTTATCGTATAGAAAATTTTCTATTGTCCATTGTCGTGTTCGGCGCCGGTGGTGGACTGCTGGTCGTTTTAGTCATTACAGCCATAGCTCTACTGTGGCGCCGGTCCAAGGCAGCATCCGCCGCTACCGACAAGAAGATATCCATCAAAAGTGAGTGGCAAACAAATGCATATGTTTGTCTACAGTATAATAACAAAACGATCGTTTGATACACAACACCGTAATGTCACCGGTATTAGTTTGAATCGGCACTGAAATTCTGCTTCGTGAACGACGTGTCCGTTGCCTTTTTTTTCATATTTGACATGCCTGCGGAAAGAGTCGGGTCGATTGAAACGCAATTCTTTACACGTGTAAAACGACTCTCGATTTACATGGTTCAATAATTAAGAAGGAATAACTCGGTAAATATATATGGTTTTAACGTCTGGACCTACACGGAATGGTCATAAAATCGGATCGTAAAACACATGTTCAAATATGTACAACTGATATCAATCAATCCCGTCTCTACGTTATTCTGTTTTTTTATACACAATAAATTCAAATCACGAGATCGTTTATTTTTATCTCGCAGTCAACGGACTAACGTAATTGGGTTACTTCTGATTAAATCAATAGTATTGGCCGCTTTTAGTAGTTGTAGTGCTGTTTCGGGCAATTATGTGCGTCGTCTGATTGATAATTTATTGGAGTCGACGGACGGTCGGGTAACATGTTTGGACACCCATCAAGAATAAAATATTGAATTCTTGAAATTCGGTTACCACTTTTACTGAACCGATCATGGCACAAAATTCATACACTTACTGCGTTACCGTAATGTTTTTTTAACCTCGCGCGAGCAAAGAAGGTGTTTTTATTTTTGGTGAAATCGACACCTCCTGGTAAGAGTTTTACACCCATCGGTAGTTCAATTACTTACACTCCATGCGCTGTATTATTAAACTGATCAACGTCAGCCCAGAATCGTCGCGATACGATTGTTATTATAATAATTATTTTTTTCATAAAATCAATGTAATCATTTCCTATGGTCGTTAAATAGGAGCGTTATTTTTTTTCCCACGCGCACTCGGGGCGTTTTACTGAAGACACGATCCGGCTACTAATCCATAAAAGAGATAACAGTAGACATTTACTTTATTGAAAACTGCGGAGCCCAATCGATCAGATCTAGCCGTTGACGTTTCAATCCGACAATAATTTTTGGTTTTATATTATTAGTCGTTAACCATTGTGAAGATTCTTCTTATTCTCGACGCGTGTCCCCGGTGAATTAATTGTTCAGAAAAAAACAAAAATACACAAAAAGACCTCTCGTCATATATTAGATTTTTAAGTTATATTCTCTAAGTATGAACTAGTTAGGAAAGGATTCCTTATCTTTCTCGCAAGATAAGAATTTTTTTTTTTTAATACCCCGAATGATACGCGGATAGTTTCCACGATATTTTTGGGGTTTTCGTAATTTTTATGTATTTTTTTGTTTGTTTTAGATAATTTTAACGAGCCCGATAAACATTGCAGCAAGGAATCCGACATTTCGTCAAACGTATCTGATATTAAATTGGAAATGGGCACTGCCGGTTCATCGTTAAGCAGCACATATCAGTACAAGATTGACTACGGTGACGGTACCACTGGCTCTGATCGGCCATCTACACCAAAGAGCGGCAGCGAGACTGGACTAGCACCCCGAGTGGGCGGTGGCATACCTTTAGCTGGACCTGTACCGGTCGATCCTCGCTATTCCGTTGTTGCCAATGGCCATTTATATTCGTCTGGTGTCGACTACGTAGATCCAATATACCGCACGATCAACAAACATTCGGTAAGTAATCCAAAGACCCTTGCCCTCCACTAGTCTTTGTTTAATATTTTTCAAATCCTTTATTAAATCGTTAAACATCTTGTAATGAATTTCTCCGTGAAATTATTGTGGAAAATTGATTTTTTGTCAAGTATTTTATTTTTTTTTACAAATTACTGTATTAATTACTGGCTTATGTATACTTCATCTTAGTGTTTTAAATTATTGAAAAAATGTATTTTTTACTTAATTCGAATTGACGCGATAAAAACATTTTTTATGAGTAGTAGTATTGGATTACTGATATTTTGTTATCTAGACTTGAACGGGTCAACACGATACCTGCTGTGGACTGTCACAACAATTAAAACGGTTATTTTCATAACACATATTTTTTGTGTTGTCAAAAGTCCATTAGAGTTTGTTCAATGTTCTTATAGGGTTTTGTGGTGATATGGGGGTGTTGGTACACTGAAAGGGCACTATTGTTTAAATGCATAATTTTAATGATTTTAGAATAATTTTGTAAACACAATGCGAGAGATAAATATAAGAAGATAATTTGTTACGTACAGTTTAAGTGATGTAACTGCACAAAATATATTAAAGTTTGGGACTAATCGAAAAAATGGCAAACCTCATATTTCAAAAATCATGCATTTTTTCTTATCTTATTTCATTATTTCGTCGTTTCAATAATAAAAATAGTGTTTTTTTATTCTTCTCTATTTTTCATTGCAGGATCGGCCAGCCAGCAGTAACGGCTATATCTCAGCCGACCGTTTATACGATCTCAGTCCAGCATCAGCAACCCCTGCAACTCTTATTCAAGATAATGTCGGTTTGCCCTCATTGGATATGAATGGTGGACGTCCAAAGAGTGGCGGCGACCCAGCTGCTCTGCTTCAATACTCAGCCACTTATGGCAATCCTCACCTGAAGCCCAATGGAGCTCAATGGTTACCTTCTCAACATCTATATGCTAGACTGGAGCCACCTCCTTATAGTGTCATGTTGCGCACTGGCGGTCATCAGCAGAAACAAAGCAATGTAGGTCGCAGTACTTCAGTTGTTTTATCTGGTAACAGTTCCAATTATCACATAGGAGTCGCCAAGAGGCAAACTCTTGCCACACACGTTTGAATCGTCAGATACGTATCAAAAAAAAGGCTGATATTATTTAATAAGATTAATTAATGATTTTTACCTTAATTAATAAGTAACAATGTTCTTGTTCTACTCGAAAATTTAACTCCTATAAAATTTATTTTATAGAAGTAATTTTTTTTCAAATATTCAAAGAGAATTATGATAACATTAATTTTTGTAATTAAAAAACATATTCTAAACATTTGTTTATTTTTTTTTTGGAATTAAATTTTAACAAATTCACTTAAATGAATTAAAATTATATGTTATTTTAAATACCAGTATGGGTTCATCTTAGCTTTTTCATATTTGATATTATATAAAAACTGTGATATGATACCATGTTAATAATCTACTGTAAATAATTTTATTTTTGTCATATCTAATCATGAATGAAACCAAGTTAACTAAAGATTTAAATATTCTTTATTGTAATGCATAACTGTTTTTATTGTATTATAAGCAATAGGTATGTTTAAAATTTATAAGTTGAAAAATTAAATTTTAAATGAATTTTCAGAACTTTTGAGAATTAATCGATTATTCATACCGGGACTGCGAAAAAGGCATTTATCTTGTTATTGTCCACTTTATGAATATTTATATACTTTAATTATGTTATTACATAGATCAAATTTTTAATTGTATGTCTTAAATTACTTTGTTTTGTTTTAAATTTGTATAAAAGTACGATTCTTTTTGTTGTTGTTATTACTCATTTGTTAATAATGTATATTTTGATAAAAGTATATATTTATATATTACAAAAAAAAAATATTTGAACTATATTATGTAAGTAGTGTTATAAGTACTTCAAATGTATATTTGTTTTATTTTGATTATATTCTTGTTTATTTTCAAAAGTCTTTATGCCTTGTACAAAATATAATCATATTATAGTACTTAAGTAGTTATCCTATAACTAATAATAAAATATGTGTGTAAATTTGTTCTTGTGTGAAAATAAAAGAAAAAATATTAATAAATTTTTTAGTGTTATCTATTTATCAAGAATTTTTTCAACTTCTTTCGTATTATTATTTTTTTTTTGTAAATTCATTAATTATAGCTCGATAATTTTAAAATTATGTGGGTTGGGTAATTATATAAAGTTTTAGAACTTTGTTATACATAGATTTAAATTCGAACTACACATTATGTACCGTAAGATTAAAAAATAAGTCTCCATATTTAATCATTTTAGGAATGACTATTAAAAAAGTATTATTTATACATAATAACGTTGTTCTAAAAACAACATAAAATGGTATAGTCTTACTAACTTAAAGATTATTTGAAAATTTATAGTTTTTATTTATATGTTACGCGAAATTGAATGAATGCATTTAACATAGTTGTATAAATTTATAATAATATTTTGTTTACAAATAATATTATTTTACTTATATCAATTATTTAAAGTTACTGTCAAAGAATTTCTAAGTTAGAAATATGTGTTACTCAATTGAACACCAATTAAAGGTTTGTAACAATAATGATAATATTAAGTTATTATAGATAATATATTTCTAAAATTTTCTTTATTATATATATTTATCAATTTACAGGTTGAGTAACTTTATTTTTTGTCCGAACATTTGAAATGTGCTTCTAAGAAGACAAAAGAGAAAATAAGAAAAATTTCAGCGTTTCCATCAAAAATCAAATAAACTATGATTCTGATCATTTGTTTAATATGTTAACTTAATGTAGAGACGTATTTAGAAATTCATAATAATGTTTATGAATAATGTTTTCTAAATAAGAGGCTATCAAAATTTGTTTTACTTATTTTGTGCTGATTTTAATCTAAAAAAAAAGCCAACAATCATTTTTAAATCAGCATAGCATGGTTAATTGGGCAGGGGCATGTATCCTATGGCCACTATCTAAATATGCCTTTGATGTAATGGATATTCTGTGAACATTTAAGTTATAGTTTATGTTTTAATTAATATTAAACTGTATAAATTCAATCATCTTATATTAGATTAAATTACCCTTCAATTATTCTTATGGCTAGTGTCAATATAATTGTAGATAACCCAAAAAAATAAAAAAAAAAAGTGTATAAAATGAAATTCATGTATTATATTCTAAAATAATTTTAAATAAATAAATCAACTATTTTAGTTAATCACATTTACATTTTTATTTTTAATACCACATAAAGAATTTTAGAAAATTCTCAATAATTTTGAGTATCTTAGATTTTTTCATTACATTGTTAGCGTATTCGTTACAACAATCTAAAACTTTTTCTTTGCATATTTCGGATGTATTTCTATGTTCTTGTTTTAGTATTTGTGATTGTTCATAATTACTACATACGCAATCCGACATTTTATGTCCGATAGATCCAAAACTTTTTAATGCTCTGAGTGAATATCGATTGTTCTTATGTAGTAAAATTTCCTTTTTCCATAATTTCAATTCATTTAAGAACTTTTCAGTAAAAAGGTTATTATCATCTAAAAATAAAAACAAATGAATATCAATGCTAAATTTAAATATATATATATACATATATGTCATATTATGTCATATTACAGGGTGATTATTTTAACACTAGCCACTCAGTTTCTTTTAAAATAATATTTTCATTGTGAATTTTGTTTTGACATTTGTTTGTTACACATGTATTTCCATTTATCTGTTATAAAATGTAAAATTTATGTTCATCTTTTATGTCTTGTAGAAGTATCAGCTTTATTTTTTAAACGACAACATACATATTTAACGAGCTTATAAAATAGATAATAATCTAATGAAATAAATGAATGCTTGATAACAACTTATGAACTAGTATTTCAGAAATTATTAATATTTATATACCTAGGTGGGAAGAGGAGAGAGACAAATAAATATCTAGTGAAAAAAATAGCATCACTCACTATTTATCATAAATTATTAATTATATTGAAACACTAGACCAAAATTTGTTATCGATCAGTCATTATATTTCTTAGATCATTATTTATTAATAAAGTTAAATAAATTACAGTATACACCCTTATAAGGTATAAGGGATGAACATAAAAAAACTATATGATTGAAAAATTGAAAGAAACATTGAACTAAAAGAAAAAAGAAAACAATACACATCATAGTAAAATTAATTCTTTTTCAGTTTCGAATCGAAGCTAAAATTATTAATGTTGTTTTTATTTTTCTATGTAATAAGTGGTTCATAATAAATGAATCATTCTGTACATATATTACTCCCTAAATTTAAAAAAAGTGTCAAAATGAGTATTATGTAATCATATTAACTATATTAAATGATACTCAACATTATTTTTCATGAATGGAGTTTATAAATGATGACTTAGTGAAAGTCTTTTATATTTTAATTGAAAATTGTTCGAAATTGAAATGTAATAATTATTTTTTATTTAATTTAAAACCATTTTTAAAGTGTTTCAAGTAATTCTCTGTTGAATTTTAAAAATTTTAATTTAACAGTATATTAAATTATTCAGTAGTTTCATAAAAAAGTATTACTTTCTAATATTGATAGAATTATAAATATATTCTAACGTTTTTTTTTACCTTTATCAACAACATACATGTGCACATTTGATTTTACTAAGCAATTTAGTAGTTGCAGTTTTGGTTGTGAGTAGGATGCTTGGGATTTAGAAAGTACCTATTGCAAAAAGAAAAAAAAATATATATAAATAAAAATCAAATTAATTTTGTTTTTGTAATAAAAATGTTCTCAAGATAGATTTTTTCTTAACTAGTTTTAAAAATACATTTATCCATTTTCTAAAAATAAGATATTTCAAAACTATTCTAACTCTTTTTTTAATACAATTATTGACTAATTATTGTAAAATTTCTTTTTATGTGTCTAATTTGTATTAGTAATAAGCTTATTAAAAAATTTATCAACATTATCAAAATAATAAATTTATATCTATTTTCTTGTATGAAGTTTATTTAAATGTTATTTATTTTAAAGTATTTTTGATTACAAAAAAGGTTTAACAAAATTGGAGTTAAACATTAACATTTATACTTACATTTAAAAATAATATTATGATGATTATACAATGTAATGGCTTCATCATCTTCTAGCAATAATTTGATATAATATTTTATGTTACGGAACAAATTAAAATATTTTATTTTATAGATGAGAAGTAAAATATCATTTCCACATAAAATGTGTACTTGAATGTTTGTAACAAATTTTCCAGCTAATATTTCATATTACAATTTCATAAACCAAACATAATTGTTTACTGTATTATAATATATTATTATAATATAAATATAAGTTGTTATTGTTAATGCAAAATGTTTTTTACATGCGTTTGTTCAAAGTGTTTTTTAATTTTAATTGAAAAATTAGGGTTTAAACAAACTAGTATTTACTTTAAAAATATAATTTTAGGGAGACTTTATCAGTGAATGAACAGTTTTTCATCTAATAAAGTATTTATTAATTTATACTCATAAAGTATGAAATATTTATTAACTGAAAAATTTTCTTTAATAATAAATAAAAAAAAAATTGTAATTAACTAACATCAATTATTAATTAGTTATTGTATTTTGAAAATTGGAACTTTCTAGTTAATAAACAGTTAATGATGTATTAAAAATGTTGATATTGCAGATGGACTACTAATTATAACTTATTATAAGATATGTATCATAAGATTGGATATTTTTTTTTTGAAAACTCAGTGCCATTTGTTCATTGGTAGTGTTCATTTACTTTTTATATTACCCTATGTATTTTAACAAATAAATAGAGTAATAACTATTAACTTAAACTAATAAATTATTAATTTTATTAAACTAAAGCATTTAAAACAACTTATATGTATTAAATTTGTATATTTTAAAAATTTAATATATGGTTAAATTTTAATGTTTTACTGTAGATCGCAATAAAAGTCATATTGAAATTAAATATTGTTTAAACAGCTGAAAAAATATTTTGAATCCTACAAAATGATAAGTTACGTCGTTTTAAAATAATTAAAACGCAATATTTTACATAATAAATTTATTGTTCACATTATTTAATTGAGATTTAATTAATTTACATTAAGATTTAATTTTAATTAAAAAATTGATGGTAATAGCATGCTATGTAACAATTTCTCAGATTTAATTTTGCAAACAATTATTACTCTAAAAAATCTTGATAAGTATTTCAAATCAAAAGTTTTAGAATGATCTTATTTTTCATAATATTTTCCTCCTCATGAGAATTTAAAAAACTAAATACATTAAAATTAACAAATTGGTACATCGCATATTATTCTCACTAAAATTTCAAATTTAACTATTTAAATATTATGATTTGTTGATTTTATTTCAAAATACCTAACGATACTTCACATATCAAATTAGAAGGAGTATGAACTTTTTTAAGGCGATGTCTAAATTATTTATCATTCACATCTCTTGCCTATGTTACCTCTTTTAAGCTTAAAATTCCAGTAACACTTTTAAGATGCATAGTTTATTAATCTGAGGAAGACATTCTGATGTAACATTATCACTAAAAATAAAGTAAAAATTTTTTGGAACAACCGAATTCTTCAAAGATTAAACCCCTGTAACATTCAACAAAAGAAAATCTCAATCACTAAATTCTTATAACATTTTAGACAAACTTATAAATAGCACCTTTAAAAATTAAAAACAATTTTATTCATAGCACATTGATGTTATACAAACATAAAGTTCATAGTTTTTGGCAAAACATCGATGCTTATAGCTATTTTATATAAATAAGCAGCAAAATTTTTTTCCAATATTTCATCAATTAAAAATAGATAAATTAAATGACTAAAGAACAGAATTAATTTTTAAATTTGTAAATTTTTTCCTTTAAAATTCACAAAATTGAAATATATATTTTTTTATTGGTTATTAAAAAAATTTTCATTTTCTTTAATTTGAAAAAAAACTTATAATAAAATTAATCTTAAGTGTTCGTAAGATTTTTATTCATTAAGTTTTAATATCGCAAAGTGATATTGTTTTTGCATAGAATTATACATATGTGTCATTGCTTTGGTCAAAATAAATTATAAAAAAAAATTTTTTTTGACACCAGCTTATAGATTAAGTGATTGGGCATGGAATGACACTTAAGAAATTAAAATAAAATTCAAGTTAAACCTAATAATTACATTGATTCCATTAACGATTTTGTAATAGTTTGCCTAACATTTATATATTTACCTTAAAGTAGACTTAAAATTGTAAAAAGTAGGTCTATGTTAATCAATACAATATTGAATTAAATATTTATTAAAAAATAACAAATATGTTCAAAAATTTCCTTTTTAATTACTTAATTTGTTTTAACCCGGTGATCTAGATTTTTTACTACACACAAAATTGTAATTGAAATACTAAATTTATTGGAAATACATTAAATATCTTAAAGCTATGACCATTAGATTCTTCAAATTTAGTTTTTTATGGACATACGCACTATATGTCGATGATTAAATAATGAAGTAATAATGTCACATCAGAATGTCCTACCCAGATTAATAAACTAATAAAACTCTAAGACCTACCAGATTACAGTTCAAGTGATTTCACTATGAGTTAATTATAAATAAATAAAAAAAAAAATTTATAATGTTAAAGGTACTTAAAAAAAATATGAAATATACATTTAATACTTTAAATCAAAAGTTAATAAACATTAAATTTTACCAATTACTTAGAATTATTTGGAAATATTTAAAAATCTGTTATATAAATGACTTGTCATATTTTTTTAAGATTTGTATTTAAATCTCTAATGTATTAACAATAATTTTGAATAGTTATTTTATTTTCTTAAAATGTATTAAGTTAAAAGTTATTGGGTTACATTTAATTTAAGAGAATCTAATTCACTTATATCTTCTGATAGAATAGTTATTGCAGATTCTACTCTTGAACTTTCGCCACTATATATGTTTAGGTTTTTAAGTATTTTATAAATTTTCATTTTTTCTGAACTTTTATATATTATGTTTGAGGACGATTCACTTAATTCTTTGTTTTTCATATATTCATTTAAATGGATATTGGCTAGTTCTGTAAAAGGTAGATATCTACAACAGTATTGGACTAGTTTTTTACATTTATTTTTTCCATTTTTATCAAAATAAGGTCCTGTCTTTTTATTATAAAAACTACAAACATAATTGCTTATAATACTTAAAATATGTTTATATGTTTCTTTACATTCGTTTATAATTTTTTCTTGATTATCTTGTATTAACTCTTGCCAATCTTTAAATTTTTGATCAAATTCAGTCGTGAAAATATTTGAATACGCTGTAATAATAAAAACATTTCGTTTAGTTATTTAAGTTACTTAAGTAAACTTATATTTTTTTTTACTTTAAATGAAGAATGGTCTAGATAATATGTTGTCTTTTAGATAACTAGTTTTGTATTATTGCTTTTTAGATAGTAGTATTTAATGATTTAGAAAAGATGAACAAGATAATGTTTATCGATGCTCTATTTTTACCATAACGCACAGACAAGAATTCATCTATATTGTTTTTAACCCGCTCACCTATAACTAAAAGTTATATTAACCAAAAAATAATATTAGATAACTGTATATCGTTCATTCAACATTTTATTAAGACTATTCTCCATTTAACTGTAAAAATAATAATAGTTTAACTATCAAATGGTCCTCAGAAATCTTTTTCTTATGTAAAACGTAATATTTAATAAAGTTTATAAAAATAAAATAAATTTTCTTTAACTCAATGAGTGTTTATCCAAAAATTAGTATTGACCCATTAAAATTTTTTGTCTAAAAAGGTCTACAAATTGGCATTTTCAAGATTTTGAACGAATATAAAATAGGTTTTTTTTTTTTTAATTAGTGTTAAATATTAAGAAAAAATATGCTTTTAACGAAGTCCAAAACTGTAAAAACTATTAGCAAACTATATTCTGAATAAAAAGTTGTTAAAGATCAAATAATGGTGGGACACTTGTATATACAAGTGATTTGTATTTAATGAGAACAATTATAGACAGTAATAAATTAAGAAATTCTTTTTAAGAGATGCTATTATTAATTGCATAACCAGAAAAAAATGTTTAAAATATTTTTATAAAATCACTAAGAAAAATATATGATGAGAAAAAAATAAAAGGTCTTGAATTTAATATTTGATCAATTATTACGACAAATTTCAAGAATATCTTTACTAGTATTCTGAAATTATTAGGAACGTGCTCCAGCAACCCTAAAATATGTCTGGATTTTATTTTAGTACAAATGTAGAAAATCGTTTGATTATACAATGGGTAGATCATAAACAGGAAATCATCAGCTACTACATTACACAATGTTTATCAGGACATTCCTGTTTCCTTCATACTTGCATATATTTCTAAACATAAACGGGTTGCAAGTGCCGAATGAGTGCAGTGGCGTAATCAAAGTTTTATTTTGGGGAGTATTTATTTAAGAAAAACTCACGTCCCAATTTTACCATATAATTATTTAGTCATGAGGGGATTTGATAAAATATGTGTAAAATGATGGCAGAAACAACTCTTGGAGAGTTATAAAAACCAAAAGAAAAAGATGGAGGGATATGACAACAACCTCATAATTACAACATTGAATGAGTACCGTACGGGCGGAGGCGAAGTAGAAATTTTTATGAATGTTGTTGTCAAATCGGACATAATAATTTGAATCATGATGAAAAATCAAAAAATTTAGGAAGGGGTAGTGAGATAAATTTCCTGTAATATGAAAAAGAAGGGACACTAAAGTGGCAACCGTTAAATGTACTTAATTATAATCTAGTCTGAAAAGACAAATTATGTAGACGTCTAGTTGGAATTATAGCTCCCCTATATACTCTATACATAAAATGAGCTTCAGCTATAAATATAATTTTAATTTTAGGTGAAATAGGGTTTGGGCAGTTTTTAATGCGCATTAAAACTTTAAAATTCAAATTAGGGAAGAGATTATATAGGTTTATGGGACATTATTTTTTGATATTTAAATCAAAGATGTTTTTGAATTTTAATATATACATTTAAAAGCATTCATATAAAAATACCACCGATATATTCATTATTCATAAATTGCATACTTCATTAAATGCAATATATTTGAATACATATTTCACTTATAATTACCTAAAAATTATAATGTTCTAAGTGCACTACTGTGCAAAAATAACGTTAAATAAAATTATTACTTT